ATCACCCTGGTAGTCAAACCTCTCAAGTATAGTAAATGCCCTGCAAAATATATTATCTGTCTTTATGTTTTTGGAACACCTACAGGTTCATGTCCACCTGCCCCTGCATCCCCTGCAAGAATTAGGTAGGAATTTTTGGACAAAAGTATTATTTGGTGCGAACAATCGTCAACACTGAAAACTTTTGGGGAAACATGTGGATCAAATGAGACAATCACGGAGGGGATTTGTGAGCTGCGTCCCCATTGAAGCCAGCGAGTCTCGTTCCCTTTGCGTGAACGTTTCTGTCGTTGTTGGATCAGGGCTGGAGTCTGGTCCTCTTCCGTCCCAGCTCACTCCTGAGCCTGTTGGTGCGGGTGCCCGATCCAGTGCCTGCCCCAGAGCAGTTCAGAGGAGCCACCCCCAAAATAGCATCCTGGGGACCAGGATGCTGGAAAAGGCAAGATAGATGCGGGGGGAGACTTTGTCTCAGCTCGGCCAATGGGGTGGAAGCACCAACACCATGGATTCATCTGATGGGCAACTGGATGTTTCTTTTCTAATTTCACTTAATAATACGATTGCAATAATATTGTTTTATCGCAATGCCTTGCCAGCCTACATGTAACCTCACAACGCTTCTCTAAAGAAGTTGCTGTGCGCCCTGTTTATGAGCGAGACGTGCAGCAGCTGTTGTGATGAGCACGTGCAGGAAGTCTGCAGTCCTGCTGGCCTTGGTATTGTAGAGAGGGGGCTGATGCACTGCATCAGTGTGCTGCTTCTCACCCCGATAGACTATCGTCTGAACAATAACCTACTCCAAGTAGAATCTGAACACTCATTTATAGAAACTTTATAAACGTAGTTCTAGAAACTTTATAAGTTCAGGGTGGTTCTCTGGGCCCCACCTGGTGCAATCACAACACAACCTTCACGTCCCAACCTCCTCCTTTCTCCCTGCCAGCTGCTAACCTCTCCCCACGTGTCTTGGCAGCATGTGCTCTACAGACCCTTGTGTCTGCTTTGCAGCAGCAGCGTGTGCTGCTCTGCAGTTCTTGGTGGGGCGGGGGCGGGGGGCCTTTCCATTTACCTAGGGAGGATTATGTCTTGCCTTGGCTTAGGAGGGGTTGGCCCTAGCTCTGGATGGTGCTGTCTTTGTTCATTGACAATCTTGGGGCTAATGGTAGATAAAGTGAATCCTGCTCCATTTTCCAATAGTATAATTAAGCTGTGAATACTAAACAAAAAACAAATTTTTCCAGGTGCATCCAATTTCTTCATTTGATCAAGGCGTAAAACTGGAGAAGGTAATTGTAACCTTGTAAAGGCTTAGTTTGGTAGGAGAATCCTCTGATTGTTGTGTAACTTGAAATATTAAATCAGAATCTCTTGGCAATACAAAATATCCCCTCGACTGAAGAAGGAACAAGGAATGAAGATGGACAATATTGCTGAGAAAGTGATTCTGAATTTGATGCTGGGTCTGGTCTGGCTTTATTTCTTGTATGATTGAAGGTCTGGAAGAAGGGATGAAAAGTGTGTTCGCTGGGTTGTATATGAAACTAAATTGGGAAATGTGACAAGCAGCGACGAAAGAGAAATAATCAAAATAATTAGAAAGACAAACAAAAAGAAAAATGAAGAAAAATTTGTCTGATAAGGGAATTATATGAAATACTGGCAATTAGTATTGGTCATATGTAAAAGTCAGCGATGACAAGAGAAGACTTAAGGTGGTAGTGACTAAGTATTATGATAGAGGCTTTGGAGTTTAATTTGCTGGTCCAAACCACACCAGTTTGATTTGCTTGTGACATGGAAACGTATCATGACTCGGAAGTCACGTTCTTCGCATGATGCTGGTCAGATTCGGGTCTCTGAGCCACAGGGGACTGCTGTGAGAGCCAAACCGGAGAAGTCCTGTGGGTCAGCTCAGCACCCAAGGGAATCTCACCCCACCGGCAGAAAATGACTTTATGCCCGTTCGCGCTTTTCCCAGCTGTGTCCCTCGGTGGCCGCAGGCACCACTGAGACGAGCTTGGGGAGAGGGGAGACGAGGGAGCAATTCCAGATGAGGCGGATTGGCGCTTTAAGCAGTTCTGACTCGCTCATAAACAAGAACGAATATTCTCCAATGCAAACAGACTTTTCTGGGAGATATCAGCTACTCGCCATACCCAGTTAGTTCAGAAATGTCAAAAAAAAAAAAAATCTTACTTGCTGTTCTTTTGCCTTGGAATATTGAGTACATTGCAGAGAGACACTTTTTTTTGCCTGATATTTCTCAATATTGAGTACATTGCAGAGAGACACTGTTTTTGCCTGATATTTCTCAAAAATGAGGCAGCTGTGAGCAGCGACGTCTCCTTTGTGTTAGGGGGCATCAGGGAGATGGAGTGTCTCCTGCACTATTTGCTGGTGCCGTGGTTGTACTAGCAACACGTTAGATCAACTTTCCACTGTATTGGGCAGCATAGAAACAAATAGTGAATAATCCCTGCACTTAAGAAGCCAAATAACTTCTAAAGCTTCTAATCTGAAGAGACAGAAAGGAAGCTAAAGGGTGAAACAGTTTGCCCGTGGGTGCCTGGCAGGTCATGGCAGAGCTGAGCCGGACGCTCAAGTCCCTCCTTCCGCGCGTGCTGTCTGCTCTGATGGAAAAACACTCCTGGGTGTTTAAAAGCCAGAATATCGAGTTAGTGATGAATATTCCCGGAAAACGTATCTTCAAATCAAGCTGTGGCAGCATAAGCAAGAAGGACCAGAGCCTGAGCTGTCATTTTAAGGGATTCACAATGGATTCAGATAATTGCTTGCATGGTATCTTTCCCAAAGGCAAATCTCTGCAATTTGGAGTCTCCAGACTGAGGAAGAGTTTCAGTATTCCTTACCAAACCCTTCACTGTACCCTTGCCTCCAAGCAACGAGTTTTTAGATTACTGTGATTCAAATGCATCCTTTTTTCTTTTTATCCTTCACAGAGCTTTTGTGAAGGACAGCCGTGTTAATGTGGGACATTGCTGACAGTGGGACATGCCTGTTTAGCTGGCTGTTGTTACTTTTGCTATGTTGTCACCTGTATTTAAAACATGATTTTCTTATTTGCTCTGACAGATGACTTAAATCGGACTGACTTAAATCCTTAAATACTAGCATGCATCAAGGACGCTACAAAATGCTGCACTTTGGGGATTTGTTTACTGGAAGTGAATGTGCCTAGGAATTGTATGACCAGAGCTGTTTAAAGTGATCTAGGGAAGTATCCTTTACCTTCACTGCTGTGGTCCTTTTGTTTAACAACTGTATGGGTGTGTTTCGCGTATTAGCACCAATTCCATTATTTATAGATGCACAGGGCTGAGGTCAGCGGGGGCTTCCCGCGGTAGACACAGCCCGTGTGTTGCAGAGGGTGCTGGACACCAGTGGAGAGCGAGTCGGCACCGCTTGCACCATGGGCCAGAGCTGGCTTCGAAATGCAGCTTATAAAGACGGTACAGACATACTGCGAGCTGGACCTGTTGTGTCCTCCCATGCGGTACAGTGCGTAGAGCTTCAGCAATTCGTTCTAGCCTTGATCCTGTAAGGTTTGGCCAGCATAAAAGGTTTTCAAAGATACTTAACATATAGATTCTACTCAATGATAAATGCACCACACTCCTCAACAGCAATTTTCAATGATTGTGGAAGAAGATGAAAACAAAGATATGCCCTATTTCTAGTGTGGATGGATTCCAACTCCTAGGGCTTTACCTATTGAAGCACCGGGTATTTACCATGATCCCTTTTTAGCTTTCTCCCTCCCCCAAATTCGGGGCCTCCCTCCTGTAAGTGTAAGCAATATCCCTGCCTTTCAAGTGTTGAGTAGCTTGGGTTTGCCAGCAGGCATTAGTTCTCCAAAAGGAAAATAAAACTTTAGGTCAGGGAGCTGATGCATCAGGAACTAAAAACTTATTTTTAAAGCTCTTAGCTCCTCAGCTGTTGAATTAATGTTTGCCATCTGCTGGAGAACTACACGTCTGACCAGTTCTTGCACAAGCATTTTGGAAACAGAAATATATAACGATGCAGTGGAAAACAGGAAGAAATGTTGTCTGTAAATAATTAGTTACTAATGACCCAATCAACCATATATATGGCACGCATTTGCTGGTGTCCAGTGTCTCACTGGTACGAATGCATCCTTCACAGTGCCTTGGCAGGGCTGAGTCTCAGGGGAATGAATGTGCGCTGCACAGGCTTTTCCTGTGACCATAGCTGGAGAGAACTGTGAAGTTAAAGGAGTGTTTTAAATGGAAAAAAAAAAACTTGACTCAGAACCATTTGTTTTAATTAAGGCTGTGGATGTCAGACCATCTCATTAATGCCTCATGAAGAACCTTTGTAAGACCATGTATTGAGTAGGTATTAGACACATTTAAGAGTTGAAGTGTATTAGGGTGGATGTAACAAAGTTTAATTGTATAAAGCCAGGGTGAATTATCATATGTATGACAAGTAAAGCGTTTTAATGTAAAATGCCTGTTTTTAACAGTATCTGAAGACAAAGTCTCCTTTCTATTCCTCCTTAGGCATCACAGCAAAAAGGGGTGAGCTGGTGCCAATGAGAGGGGAACGCCCTGGTCTGTTTGTACAAAATGTGTTCTTGAAATACACCGATTTTAGTACATACAAACCAGAGGAACTGCCACGTGTACTTGTTATTTCTGACCAAGTTTATAACAAATAACTGAATTCAAGTATTTGGTCTCACAGCAGGGAAGCTGCTGCCTGGCTCTCTAAAGAGCTCACTAATAGGTCTATCAGAAATGAGAAGAAATGAGCAGATGCGTTTGGTTTTTATCTCTCTGGGGGACCTCTGAAGTGCCACCTGGATTATCTGCACGGTTGTGATCAGATTATAAACTAGGTGGAAAAGCGACGCTCGTTTCCTTCCAAAAAGAGAAGTATTTGATGTAACCTATTCTGACTTAGGACACTAATGGCAGTATTTCCCTTCTTTTTTGTGTTTTCTTCCCTTTTAGTACCGAGCGCGATGCCTCAGAACGTCTCCTTGGAAGTGGTTAATTCGAGGGTAAGTCTGCCACCATTCAGCAGCTCGCGTGCACATACCGTCCTGCCTGGATGTATAGGCACCCCTATTTTGCGTAGATTTTGCGTTCACAAAGCGAAACGTTCAGAAGCTCGCCCAGCGCTTCGCCGCGTTTATCCCTGCGTCCTTCCTCATTAGCTGAGCTGACCGTTTCGCTTCCCTGCTGCTTTCTTTTGTGCCAGTCATTTCGGTAGGCATTTTATTTCTGTTCCTTTCCACAGGCCACAATACCACAAACGCCCGAGAGCTGCTTCATTAGGAAAGCAGCCCTCCTCCCAGGACGGGTCTAGCAGATGAGAACGGTTATGAATTGCTGGTGAATGGGGTTTGGCCGGCTTCTTGTTGAGTCCAAGAAGCAGAGAAGGGCTTGCTCCTTCCACTGCTTTTGCTCGGGTGTTGTTCTTGTGTTTTTCAATCTGGGATTCACGATTCAGGGCAGCCTTTGGAGCTGCCCGTCACCGGGAAGGCAGCTCAGCCCGTGTGGCAGCTGGCGAAGGGGCAGCCGTCCTGCAGAAGGCAACTCGGCCTCTCTTCTGAGGGTGTAGAGGGAAGGTGCTGATTGTATCCTGTAATCGCTGGGTAACGAAGAAAAACCCCACATAACGACAGCGAGGCTCGGTGGCTTGTTTCAAGTCCAGTTTGTGACGAAGAAGGCAAGCCAGCCAAGGTCTCCTTTGCTTTTCTGGTAGACGGGGCCTTCGTTGCCAGTAATACTGCTTTGCACATCCTACGTGGTGATGCGTTAAGGCTTTCAAAGTCCTTAAATCAAGCTCTGCAGATTCTGACGTTGTACGTTTACGTATCAGGAAGCTTAGTCCCAGGTAAACTATGTGCTGTGGGCACTTGACTGAATTTCTGCTTTTCTGCTGCATTGTCTGGTCATGACTTCTCTTCTGCTCTCTCTCGTCTAAACAAAACACATTGGGGACTGAAAATACAGTTAGCTATCCATGTTCTCCTTCATTTTTCAACATCTAGAAGTAATTTTTTATGGGTACAATTGCTTTTATTTTGCCTGCAGAACGTGTGACACCGGAGAGGTATCTAGGCATAAATATTAAACACCTGAGCACTAAATAGCCCTTAAAACTGGCACTGTTATCCTTACTGAATGCCTTTATTGGAGCTATGTTAATTAGTGCCATCAGAGAATAGAGTCCACCAGGTGTAATTGTGCTTATCAAAAGGTTACTTGTTTCCACAAATTCCTGTTGTTCACATAAGACGCTGTCTGCTTTGGGCTCACTCAGGCTCTCCTTCGAGTTTCAAAACTTGCATGTGCATTAGTGTCGTAGAAGCAAGGCTGTTGTGTGAATTGCCCTCTTCCGTGTGGGTTTTCTGGGCACCAGTAGCTTCGTACACAGGGTAAATACTCGGGGCTTTTGTGAATGTGCTCCAATTTAATCCTGGACATTCGGTTGTAGCCACCCCCGGTGTGTCTGCGCCTGGGACAGGAAGATGTTTCTGAGAAACATCTAAAGGTCTTTGGGAAGCAAAGACACAACTTGCTTTTGGAGAAAAAAGAAGCTTAAAGAAAGTATTGAGCCACACTTTTCCTAACTTCTAGTTGTAAAGGTAAAGAAGCGTTTTATGCGTTGCAAGTTCTCAGGCCATTCTTGTTGCACTGTATTCTGTTACTTCCGTTATTACTCCATAGGATCCTTTAGAATTAGCATTTCAGTTTTTACTTTACTACTATCGAGGTCAAATGAATGAGGCAAAACATACTTATTTTGTTTTATTTAAATAAAAATTTGAAGGGATCAAAAGAATATTTTTGAAATCTTGTAAGGAGTTCTTCTCCTTTTTCTTGCATGCTCAACAATTGAATAGAATTACATCTGAGTATCTCAGAAATTCTCCCAGACAAACATTTTCATTTTCAGTTAGCTTTTTTTTGTACCTTATTTCAACATAGACATGAGAAGATACAAACAGACGTAATGCAAAACGGTATATTCCAAATCAGCCAATCCTAGCGAAACCATGCATTCTAATCTCTTGGAGGCTTACATAGTTAGTATAAGTAAAATATGTGTGTATATCAATATATGCATCAGTCTCAATAGGATTCTGTGATATTTTACTGTACAAAGTAGAACTGTGTGTGAATAAAATCCTGATTATTTTTATCAAGCCGTTTTTGCTCAGTTATTAAGATCACTGAATAGCATTCAAGACGGAAATTGCTATCTGGGAAATTATAATTGAGCAATAGAGTTAATCACATGCAGAAATCTGTAATGCCGTGAGCATCTGAAGTAATGAAGCTAGGTTCCTCTGGATGTTGTGGCTGGTGTATGTTTGAAGTGCGTTAGCAGCACTGGGGTCCCCGGCAGGTCAGCCGGAGGGAGGTGCAGCCGAGCTTCCTGGCGCTGCCGCTGGCGTGCCACCTCAAGGACAGGCTGGCCTCCTCCTGCTCCGGATCCATGCTGAATGTAACCCCCAAGACCTTTATGCCTCGTGTTTAAGTGAACTGGGCAGAAGGATGAAAATCATTACCCAGCTACTCGAGTGGACAGGCAAAGATATAGGTGTTCACGCACAACATAATCTAATAAACCTCATTGCCTTTCAAGATAATGTTGGAATAAGAACTGAGGTGAAAAGAAAAGCGTTTTAAAGAAAAGTCGTGATTTTCCAGTGAGGCTTCAGCAGCAGTAGTATCACTTAAACTTAGGTGAACAAGCAGAAATTGTTCCCTGATTGCAGATTAACATCTTCAATAAACAGAAGTGCAGTTTGGTTAACTAGGAATGATCTCCTAGAGTAAAGAGAAGCAGAGCTCTTCTCGGTGACAGGCAATGCGGGAAAGAAATATGTTACTGGCAGGTTATATACACCACCCATAGGTAGATCGATTGTCATTCCAACAAAGACATTTGTTTTGTTTGAAAAGGTGTATTCATTTTACTTAAATCCAGTATGTTTACATTCTTGAAAAATATTTTTAACGATTCCATGCCGTTGATGAAGTCAGTTGATATTATTTCCTAATATAATATCAGAATACCATATAATAGGTTTTAATTATGCTTCCTATTCATTGAATGCTAGTTCCTAATATATTATGAAATGTATTTGAGCTTATTCCTTTTCTTTCTATTCATACCTTGTATTTATTGAAGCTATATAAGCTTTTATATTCTGTAGCTCATTTCAAAACTGGGCCCATGTACATGTGAAAGGCCCATTTAGTGGAGGAAAGGCACAAGAAACCCCACAAGTTTTGTCTTATCAGGATCTCTCAGAACAAAACTGGCCCCATGGACATGCTCCTCAGAGATTTCCATTTGCACAGTTAGCAGTGAATAGGAGCCCAGAGCTCGCTGACAGGGGTGAGCGTTTATGCGATTGCTGATTTGCTAGGAGCACTGAGTACCTGTCACGTTGATCTCTCTCTTCCACTTCTTGTTTTCGTGAAATCAAATGTCTGTTCTGAATGTTTTTTTTTTTAAATACACCCAGTCCAAGTTACTTTTAAATTGCTCTTACATGTACGACCCAAAGGGCATTGGTGTCTTGGAACATCTTGTTCCAAATCTTGATGTTTACTTTTTCTTACTTATTCTGAAGGGAGAATGTCACAGAGCAGTTGATCATGTTTTGTGACCTTCTGTAATGGTCATTCAAATTTAAAGCATTTAAAACAAAAACAGGAAAATAATCTGTAGGGTATAATGCTGCATGGGATGGGCTATGGATACTCCTACCCTAAGGTATGTTATTGTATTAATTTTTTCATATCGGTCCTTACAGATAGAGGTGTGTTGTACAGATGCTGTTTCTGTTGCTGTGGGATAGGAGAGGATTAAGTGGGAATAAATCTAACCCCTTTCTGCCCTAATCAGAGGTTGTCTTCATGTTCCCAATCACAGAGGACTAAATGTTGGGAGTCTCAGTGGGATATTAACTTGCAGGTGTAAGTGCTATGGTAGACAAAGATGGATTTAAGTATTTATCTAAGTGCATTTGGCAGGGCTGCTGCTTTGTGATGGGCAAAACAAATGTATCTCAGTCCTCTTTGTGAGCCAGTGTCAGTACTGGAGCCCCAAGTTAGTGGTAATGCGAACGTTTCTTGATCGTCTGGAGCTTGGGGCAAGGGTGGAGTGTGGGGAGCGGGAGTCTGCAGGACCTGTTTGCCTCTCAGCTGAGCTCCAAAAGGGGTCTTCTGCGCAGGTGAGAGCCAGCGCTTCCCAAAGGGTCCCTCGGTTAATGGGGAAAGCCTGTTGCTCTGAGCTCTCAAGCTGGCACCGTTTGTGAAATAATACCAGTATGAAAAGGTATTTTAGGAGTGTGCGTATGAAATGTGGCCCCTTATTAGAGACAAAAAGAGGTGAGGAGCCATTTGGACACTTTTGGGCTTAATCCTATGGGCAGTACAGGCGCAGAGAAGTGCGTATACCTTTCCATAACAGCACATCTTCATGCAGTTGGAATAGAGCTTAAACATCTACTTTTAGGTAATTTTGAAGGAACAAACACAGCAGAAATGAACTGGGCTCACTAAATCAAAGAAAAAAAGAGTTTTCAAGCAGAGCAACCAACTTCAAAGACCATGCCCCCAAAAACGCGTTTGCCCATTCTTTTGAAGTATGAGTCCTGTGGCATTTGTGGTTGAGGCACAACTAAGCCGCTGTTGTTGCAGTGAGCTGTGTGCCGTTTCCCACTCTTGTCAAAGGCTGTAGTAATCAAAAATATTGTGCTTCTGCAGTCTGTTTTTGTCTTGATCATATTCTTCTTAGTTCTCTTCTAACTTGGCAGCAGTCACTGAGAACTAATTCAATTAAACACTTAGAATTCACAAGCTGATTAAATCAGAACAAGTAGCTAAATAACCATCATAGTTCACTAACTGGATTGCAGTAGCACGCAAAAGAGACCAAAGGCTTGCTGTGGTGGTTTCCAGAATTGTTTAAAATTTTATCTCTAGCTTAATAAGATTTCTGTCTTTATGCTATTTTTCTTCGGTGCTGACAGAT